GTCAGTGTGTCTGTAATCTGAATTCCCAAAGTGCATTTGGAAGCCAACAGCCTTTTCCTTGAATTTCATTGTCTGGATATGCATCAGCGCTTTGAGCCTCAGTTTCCTTCTTGGTAATAATGGGGCTGTGTCTTCCTCTTTACTAATGCAGCTGTTTTCTCAGAAGGTTGTTCTGAGAAAAACTCCGGTAAATGTTGACTCCCTATGCCTCTTCTCTTCTCTGTGGCTTAAGCTTCACTGTCTGGTGCTTCTGATGACAGTCTGCATTTGAGAGAAGGCATTAAAAATTCATAGCTGGCTTTTCATCAAATGTGTCCTGCCCACCACACAATCTTGGAGAACCCATCGGCATCTGACCACTCTAGAGATTGCCCCTTTCTTGAAGGAGCCACCTGACCTCCGTTACCCAGGACTGAAATCCATCCAATTCACACACCATTGCTGTGGAAGTTAGTCCTTCTTTTAATTCTGATCAAGTGAGCAAAAGGGGAAATAAGGAGGAAACCATCAGAACAGCTCATGAAAAATATGTACGTTCTTTAAAGGAAGACAGCATACAAATGGGATATATTTTCTTTTCCAAAAGGGAGGGGGAAAACACGCAGGCTTTTAAACAGAAGTCTTTAAGCGGGGAGTGATAGAAGAAAAATATGTCTCTGAAATGCATTCAGTGCCATTGCCACAAGGCTGCCGAGCCAGGATTGTTTATTAGAAGATAAGATAGTGAAAAATGTATTTTGCAGAAAGAAAATAGTAAAGTCAGGTCTGAGGCAGATAAGAAGCCAAATTTCTATTTTATGCTCAATTGAGTGACTCAGTTACATTATCTGGGTGAAATAACACCCTTCGTAAATGAGGCCTGGGTTGCTCTGGGTCTCCTTCCAGCCTTGGCCAGGCTGAACTCTGCACAGCTGGGATGCTGCCTTCTCAGAGCAGTGTATTTGCCATCTAGGGAGAGGGGAAGAAAGGTTCTGATCTTTTCTCTCCAGCTCCTTTTTCTCTCCATCTTTTTATGTGAGCACTCTAGTTCAGCTTCATACCTCCCCTTCTGCTGCCAAAGGTGAGAAAATAAACACACACACATGCATACGAGATGAAGCTCTGCAAAGACCAACAGATGTTGGAGCCAGAAGCATCATTAGAGTTCAGCTGGTACAGGGGTCTGTGGTCAGTGTTTTCTTTGGCAAGCACAAATATGTCATTTGAGTGTTTTTACATAGGGCATTGGCCTCCAGTTTGCCAAAGATCCCACTATACCTTTTAAAAGTTTTACCTGGCTGCTTTACACATTTTCATTATGTGTCTGGTCCCTGGAGAAATATAAGATGATTTCTCTAGACATCTTTCAGAATCCTCGGTTAAAAGATGAGGAAACTTCCTTCCAGAGAGGTCAAGAGGCTCGTTAAAAGTCACACAGCTGGCGAGTGGCATTATTACAAACAGGCTGTACTTCCAATTGTCTCTTATGCTTTCCTAATGGTTCAGCTTTTGGGCCCTTTCCCACTTTGGAGATTCTTAATTTCTTATCCAGTTGGAGGTTAGAGGAGTTTGAAAACTGAATATTGATTTTTTGGGCCAATAGTCAGTTCAACATCTCACCTAGTTGTGCATTGGTAAGCCTGTGGTAGTCAGAATAATGGCCCCTGAAGATGTCCATATCCTAATCCCGGAAACCTGTAAATAATTTTGCAAATGTAATTTAATTAAGGATCTTCAACTGGAGAGATTATTCTGGATTATCTGGTGATACGGTTTGGCTGTGTTCCCACCCAAATCTCATCTTGAATTGTAGCTTCCATAATTACCACGTGTTGTGGGAGGGACCCTGTGGGAGATAATTAAACATGGGGTGGGTTTTCCCCCATACTGTTATCGTGGTAGTTAATAAGTCTCGTGGGATCTGATGGTTTTATATATGAGAGTTCGTCTGCGCAAGCCCTCTTGTTTGCCACAATGTAAGACACGCCTTGGCTCTTCCTTCATCTTCCACTATGATTCTGAGGCCTCCCCAGCCATGTGGAACTGTGAGTCTCTTAAACCTCTTTCCTTTATAAATTACCCAGTCTCAGGCATGTCTTTATTAGCAGCATGAGGACAGACTAATATGTCTGGGTAGGCTCAACCAAATTACATGAGTCTTTAAAGTGAAGACGTTTTCAAGGTCAGAGAGGGGGAGATGTGGCAATGGAAGAAGGGTCCGAGAGATGTAACATTGCTGCTTTGAAAATGAAGGAAGGGAGCCATGAGTCAAGGTATGTGACCAGCAAAACTGCAGAAGCTGGAGAGGGCAAGGAAGCAGCTTCACACCTACAGCCTCCAGAAAGGAACACTGGCTTGCCAACACCTAGTTTTATCCCAGTGAGTTCCAGGTTGACCTGATTTGTAGAAAGAATGACAAGATAACACATTCGTGCTATTTTAAATGATTAAGCTTGTGGTAACTTGTTACAACCACAATAGGAAGTGAATACTACAGGCATCTAAATCCTAACAACATTTCATACCCCATTCATTCTCATATCCTTCCTTTCCTTCAGAAAGATTTCTATGAAGCCACTTGCAGCTAATTTTTAGGCTCATTTCGAGCTCAATTTTGAGAAAAAACTTAGGTCCATAGAGAGATTAACTATAAAAAACTTTGAATTTGGTAAGCCATTGTGTATTTGGACATAAGGAGTAATATAGGCCTCTTGTCCTATTCCCTCATATATATATATTTTTAAATTAAAAATGGATGCTCAGAGAAGGGAAGTACTTCCCCAAAGTTGCATAGGAAATTAATGTCAGGATAAAAATTAAAATTTTGGTTTTTCATCTTCTATCCCACCATTCTTAAGATTACTTTTTTTTTTTTTTTTGAGACGGAGTTTCGCTCTTGTTACCCAGGCTGGAGTGCAGTGGCGCGATCTCGGCTCACCGCAACCTCCGCCTCCTGGGTTCAGGCAATTCTCCTGCCTCAGCCTCCTGAGTAGCAGGGACTACAGGCACGCGCCACCATGCCCAGCTAATTTTTTGTAGTTTTAGTAGAGACGGGGTTTCACCGTGTTGACCAGGATGGTCTCGATCTCTTGACCTCGCGATCCACCCGCCTCGGTCTCCCAAAGTGCTGGGATTACAGGCGTGAGCCACCGCGCCCGGCCAAGATTACTTTTTTAATACAGGTTAAAAGTACTGTCCGTCCAGACACTGACCCACATATATTTTATGATCTTATTTACCACAAAAACATAACTGACATTCAAAGGGAAGAGAAAGATTTTTGTTTGGTCAACTGAATATCCATATGGACAAAAATCAGCCTTGACCCTTCTTTCATACCATATATAAAAGTTAATTAAAGACAGATTATAGACACAGATAAGAAAGGTAAAATAATAGGGAGTCTAGAAGAAAACACAGAAAAACATCTTCATGACTTGGAGGGAAACAACTCTTAAATAGGACATTAAAAAAATCACCAGCCAGAAAAGAAAATTTATGGTGCTCAGTATTTAGGCCATTCTTTTTCTTTTGGGATCTCATGAAGTTCTCTAAAGGGAATTTTACACTTTGAATGATAAATGAAATATTATTAAAGTTAAGAACATTTGTTTATTGAAAGACACCAATAGTAAAAGTCACAGACGGAGAATAGACGTTTGCAACACATAAATCTGAATAGGGTTCATATTAGGAATATGCAAAGAATTATTAATAGGAAAAAGACAAGTCAATGACAGTGGAAGACAGGCAATGGAGACTTTGAAGGGGGAAGGGTTTTTGGGGGGGATAGGTGATGAGAATTACTTAATGGGTACAACACATGTTGTTTGGGTGATGAATATTCTAAAGCTTTGAATTGACCATTATTCCGTCTATGGATGTAACAATATTGCACTTGTACTCCATAACTTTATACCACAAAAAGCTAGCAAAGACTTGAACAGGCAAGAACTTGAATACAAAAGAGGTATCACAATGGCCAATAATCACGTGAAAGCTGCTCAGCATATTAGCTACCGGAGGAACACAAATCAAATGTCAATGAGATGCTATCCCACACCCACCGGAAAGGCTAAAATTCAAAGGACCGATCATATCTAGAGTTGTCAGGCATCTGGAGCAACTGGAACTCTCATACATTGCTGCACTGCAGCTCCTCATCATATCCCTTTTAAGTTTTTTGACGGCCAAACTCATGTTTTATTCATATTTCTTCCACCTCCTTGCCTGCGCGGTGCCAGTAATAAGTGCTCATGTGTTTTGACTTTCGGTTCCACTCTAGATAAAAAGCCACCAGCACACACAAAAAAGCAGCAGTGACCCTGATGAGAAGAGATGGCCCAAGTAATTTTCCAAAATGGGAATCTAATAGACAGTTTTTGCACCAAACTGCCTGCTTTTCCCTAGGCAAATGTGCAACTCTTCATACTGACTCTGATTCCATGGCCTCAGGAAGCAGCCCAGCACTATGGACTCCTGGGCTCTGGAGTTAGATGATTGCTGGATAGTATCCCATATCAGCCATTTACCAGCTGTGTGACCTTGAAGCAAATGACTCGACCTCTCTGTGCCTTCGTTTTCTCATTTACAGAACAAATAGTAATGGTATCTACTTTATAGGATTGTAGTGAGGATAAGTGAGATGTTAGAAGCAAAACATCTGTCCAACTTTAGGCGCTCAGTAATTTTCAATTCTTTTGCTTTTGAGGCTTCATGAAGTCTTCTAAAGAGGATTTTGTACTTTGCATGATGGTAATCCATTTTGTGGAGAGCAGTTGAGAATTCTTTGCATTTCTTCTGGAAATATCTTTTGTGTACCTTTAAAACTGTCCCTCAATAAAAGCTCTGACAAGCATTGTCCAAGACCGCTACACTTTGTGGCCAGTGGATTTGGAGGTCCTTTCCTCAAGAAAGGCAGGGCTTTGGGGACCCCCAGTGCATTGATTATCTTTATGTCCTATCAGGATTGACAAGACAGTCGATCAGGAAGGAAGCCACAGAAAAGATGAGCTTTTCTGGAGCTGATGATAACCCTCCTTTATCATCAGCTCCTACAGCAAAGGCAGAGAGGCCCTGGAACCGTTACAGGTGGCCCATGCTGAACATATGCTGGAATTGTTTATGTCTTGTAGATAAAAAAGCTGGGAGTAAATATTTGCAGACAGGGAGCCCCGGCATGCTGATACGCTGATGGAATGAGAAATTGTGCATGCATGAATAAGTATGTGTGTGTGTCTGTGTGTGTATTTGAGTGGAGGAGAGAGAGGGGAAAGAGTTTTGTCTCCTCTCTCTGCCTGTAGATGGAGAGATGGTAGGTAAAGTGGAAAGAACCATTCCATGGACTACAGTCAGGTGCCCTCTGGTCTGGCCCCTGCTGTGCCAATTGTCTGATTTACTATACAGGGGGCAAGAAACAGAGACTCCCTCAGGTTAACTAGGGGGAGAACAGTTTATTATCTAGATGAATATGTTCCAATGAGGGGGTTTTACACCCCCTACCAGGGATTTTATAAAGGGCAGTTCTCCTGTACGTACTCTTCTGCCTGCCACCATGTAAAAATACGCCTTCTCTCCTCCTTTGCTTTCCGCCATGATTGTGAAGCTTCCCCAGCCATGTGAAAGTATGAGTCCATTAAACCTCTTTTTCTTTATAAATTACCCAGTCTCAGGTATGTCTTTATTAGCGGCTTGAGAAAAGACTGATACGATGACTCAGAATCCAAAGAAGTTCCAGGCTCTTTGGCAACAGATTTGATTGAACTTGCAGACTCTGGAATCAGATGGCTTCACCTAGAAATGAGGCTCCTGGCTGTAGGAGCTTGGACAGATCCCCGGTTTCTCTAAAACCATAATTTTATCTTCCCCAAGATGAGAATAAATAATATCTCCTTCAGAATGGTGTTGCATAGGATGATGCACATAGAACACTCAGCATAGTGCCCAGTATATAGTAAGAATTTGTATTGTTGCCATTATCATTGTTTTCTTCCTTATTGGATGCAATTAAGGGGACCTTAATTGGACATGCCTGTTTTCCTCATCTTTGCTCTTTATCTCTTCTCAACAGCAGTGGTTTTCAAGTGTTCCCTGGACCAGCAGGGTGCGCATCACCTGAGAAAAAGTCACAGGTGGAGGTCCTCTCCTCGAGAAAGGCTGGGCTTTGAGCATCCTCCAATGCATCCATCACCCTTATGTCCTATTCTGGCTATGCAGAATTCTGTCCAAATCCTCAGGCTCCATCCTCTGTCCTATCAGAATAGAAACTCTGGAGGAGGGCTTAGCAATGTGCACTTTAGCAAGCCTTCTTGGGGATTCTGCTGCACACTGAGGTTTGAGAATCATGGCCCTACACCGAGGCTGCTCATTACCTCCAGTTCATCGCCTCGTAGCCTCTGCTTCCTTGTGGTACATGATGACCCTTCTGATCTGGCTTCTTTCCTTGCCCCTAGAATCTATCCTATACATAGCTTTCTTTTTAAGCATCCTACAATAGTTTCCCATTGCCCTTAGAATAAAACCCAGACTGTAGTCACAGCCCAAAGGCCCTTTGTGATATGGATTCTGCCGCCTCTCCAACTTCCTCTGTCCCTTCTCTCCTTCAATCACTGTCCCCTCCCACACCTTTGCCCTTCCTGGCTATGTGTCTCTGTCACTCAGGCTTGAGTGCAGTGGCATGATCACGGCTCACTGCAGTCTTGACCTCCTGGGCTCACACGGTCCTCCCACCTCAGTCTCCCAAGTGGTTAGAACTACAGGCATGTACCACCACATCCAGCTGATTTATTTTTTGTAGGGACAGAGGTCTCCCCATGTTGGGCAGGCTGGTCTTGAACTCCTGGCCTCAAGTGATCCTCCCGTGTCACCCTCCCAATGTGCTGAGATTACAGGCATGAGCCACTGTGCCCAGCCTTTATCTTGGTTCTTTGTAACATTTAGACCTAAGCTCACCTGTTTCCTCTCAGGAAAGCCTTTCCTTGCCCTCCCTCAAGCTAAAGAAGCCCCACCCCTTCACACTATCAAATACTCTTGTTTCATGACCACCAAACTCTTATTCCTTCCCCATCGTTTCTTGCTTATTTGTTTGTTTACTGATTGTTTTCCCTACTAGACCATAAGGTCCTGGAGAACAAGGGCCTTGCTCACCCTGTTTATATCCAATACGGTTAGAAAAGTACTTGGCACAGAGGTGCTCAGCAAATATTTGTTTGTTGAAATAATGACTAAGAATGAATAGATGGATGAATAAATTAAACACAGCAGAGAGTTCCGGGAGGATAATGCCTGAAAGCTGTCATTTAAGTCCCTTCTAATCCAATGAACTCATACTTCTATAGTTTGTTTAGCTTAGTGATTCACAAGAGGGTGGTCCAGCTCTCCCTGTCTCTGGGGGAATTTGAACATGTGGAGATGTTCTGCAGTTATATGACTGGAGACACTCAGGGCATCAGCATCAGGTGGGTGGGGCTGGGCGGGCAGAACAGCCGACAGTGTGCAGAATCATCCTGTTGGACAACACGTCGTCCCCTGCACGCCTTTCCTAGAAAATGCCAGCTGCATTCCTTGTGAGAAACAACAGTTGAGCCTAATCATTGTATATCATAGTTGTGGGAAGCTGGAGTTCCAGGTATTTCTAAGCTCCCAGCCCCTTACATTTCAGCCCTGGCCTGTGCAATATTTATAGCTTCACTGAAGAAAACTCAAACTGGCTCAGAAATAGTTAATCCTACCTGAGACAGCAGCTATTTTTCTTGTGAGTCTTTATTTTCAGTGACTAATAGGTAAAAGCGACATGAGTTCCCCTGGTCTGTGGAGGCTGTGGCATAAACGATGTCTCCGAGGCCCGTTCCTGTGATTACTGAGCTGGATATGAGCGATAGGATATTTTGAGGAGATAAAAATGTCTGACCAGCTAATAACTACCAGACACTGGCACCAAAACGGGTCAGAGAAAGAGAAGGAAGGGAGACAGAGGGGCAGAATTCACTCAGAGACAGAGAGGCCTGGTGAGGAATTTATGTCAGGCACATACATGTGCACACATGCAACACAGACATTCAGATACGCAGCACAAACACCCACACACAGACATAGAACATAGCCCAGAAACAAGGAACATACCCATAGGTACTCCATATTTTACCCTACAGGGCACAGACTACACACATAAGTACACACAGGCACACAGTATACACTTATGCAGAACACACCCTTCCTAGATGCACCGTGCATCCCCATGCAACACCCAGCAACAACAGAGACACACCTATACTGCAAAGGCATATGAAATGCACCAAACACAACCAGCTCATGCAATAGATGGACACACATATATAACACACACATGCACACAACTCACTCATAGAAACAATATTCATTCTTGCAACATGTACACAAGTAACCACAATGCACAGATACATACAGACACATGTAATATTACACGTGTACTATTCAGAGATGTGTGTATACAAATGTAGGTCCACCTAGCACAGATATAAACACAAGTATAACATGCAAACACACATGTACACTCCACTAAAATACACACATCTTTAAAAGTACACATACAAAGCACAGAACATACACACACCTCTAAGATACACACCCTTAAGAGACAAACAGCACACAGATACATGTGTTTATCCTTTGCTAACAACCGCTTTTAAAAATGAACTCTCAGATCCCTGCTCCAACAAGAGTGGCAATTCCAACAACAACAAATCACACAATATACGAACTCTACAACTGTCAGGTTAAAAAACATCATCATGTAAAGAAAACTAAAGTGTCATGTGACTCTCTTTGACCTTTGTGGAAATTGTTTCATCCTTGCTACAGGAAGAAAATCAGCATTTAGCATGGCTGAGGTGGGGCTTGTTCTTGCTCTTTTTCTGGCTGTGGGAGGAGGGAAGCAGAGAGGAGAAGCCAAGGCTCTTAAAAGGCTGTCGAGATGGTGCTGGCCTCAGCATCAGGTCACCTGGGTTGTGGCTCTACGATCTGATACTTACCTACTGTGTGACCTGGGAGGTGTTGTTCCCCATTTCCAAACCTCAGTTTCTTCATCTGTTAATACCTCATAGGGATATGATAGATAAACTGTAAGAACTAATCCAAATGTGAATTGTGGCCTTGACCTTCTCATATTCCTAAGAATATGAAGAGGAGGAGATGAACCCACCAATGACACTCCAACAAATGCATTCGTTTTTAGTTTGACTCCCTCACATGTCTTTTCTCCAGCCCCAGAAAAACTTCTGCATGGCATGAGTAGCTAGTACAACTGGGCTTGTCCACAAAGAGAGGCTGTAGATTATTTCATTATCTTCATTGAGTATTAAGTATCGGATCCTGTGCCAGGTGATTTACCTGTATCATCCTATTTTAATCTTCACAATAGCCCTTTACAGTGCATTCTGTTATTATTCCCATTTTACAGATGAGGACATTGAGGTGCAGTTTGGTCAAGAGACTTACTTGCTCAAGATCTCCCAAGTCGGTAAATTTTGGAACCAGGATTTAAACCTACTCTGTAGTGGTGTAGAATAATGTCGCTCTCCCCTTTCCCCGTGAAAGTTGGTCATAAAGCTCTAATAAGTTAGTAGGTGAAGTCGGCTTGAAGTCAGAACCCAGGGTGATTGTAAGAAGAGCCCTCTGATTCTGGTATGTTCTCCACTGTGACTCAGGAGCTAGACATCATGGTTTTTAGGCCTCATCCTGGGTGTTTCTTACCTCTCACTTAACACACAGTCTCTATTCAAGTTCGTAGCATACTTTCAACCTTCTTAAGCCCTACCTTCTCCATCTATAACCTTATCTGTCTCTAGGGTCATGAATTGGTCAATATATCACATCAAAAGAATAACGGGTGGCAAGTCATTCTCTAGTTATGTCCTTTCTTGCCACTCTCTATTATCTGTGATTAGAAACTTTGGGTTGATCAATATGCAGTGTTTCTATGAATAATATTGGAGGTTCATGTGAGTATTAAAACTCCTTTTTAGGCATTTAATATTGCCATTTTATACTCTACACAGCAGCATGGCTGTGACTGAGAAACAAGAGCTTAGAGTCAGGCTTTCTGGGTTCAGATCCTGGCCCTGGACCTCTAGGTAACCTTGAATGTATTACTTCGCTTTTGTGTATCTCAGCTTATTTTTACATATAATGGGTTTATTCACAGTACAGAGACTTTTGGAAGTGGTTGTATATTCTAAACTTAATATTTGTAAAGTGCTTTAAATAAGATCTGGCATGTAAACGTTAGCTCTCATCATCATCAATGTGGGCCTGCAGCTTTTTATGCTGTTTCAATTTGACTATGCTCTTTGTTTTACATTTCAACTTCTTCAGGTTTGGGTCTTGGCTTCCTTGATTACCATCCCTGATATCTAATGTTCTGAAAATAACAGGATGTCCCAGGCTTACCTTGGTTTTCTCTGTGTCAGGATTCAGCACAAGCTATCCTCTAGGGAGCTGTCCTGACGCCTTTTAGTTAAGGGCAATGAGGTAAATGTAGACATCAGAGGTGCACATTTGCCTACTACCTCTGGTGATAGACATGTGGCACCAGAGGTGGCATGGTTGATTTTAATGACAAGGTACACAGGAACCTTTCAGATGCCCAAACAAATGCTGCTGTTTCCCAATTAATTATTCTTCCTGAGGTCCTTTTTCACCTCGCTCCAATCAAAGAGCTTCAATTTCTATTCTCTTTGCTTTTTCTGAGTTACCAATTTCTCTTCTCTTTCATTTACAAAATCCTCCCAACCAGCTTTGATAGATGATGCTGCATTTTGTCACAGCAAAACTTCTGTTTAAATTACTGCATAATCCAAAGATTTAGAAACCTAGATATGTTTCTTTGATCACATTAGATCTTATCCAAATATAGCTTTGGTGGAAAATTCGCTGTACTCTTAGTCATCCACTGTACTATCCTTATCTTCAGTGAGAAGCAATGTGGTCTGGCAAGAGTATGTGGGCACCATTGCCATGGGAAGAACTTCAGATTGTGTGTGTTTGTGTACATGCGTGTGTGTGTGTGTGCATACATACTGTAGGTCAAAAAAAGTCCAATACTAAAAATCCAAGAGGGTTCAGACTCATAGGTTTTGCCTCAAAAGAGGTAAACCAACATCTGCCCACCCCAGGATGGTATGCAAGAGTTAAGAAATGTGGGATTTCCAGGTTCATCAATAGATTGCTTACTATCAAATTTAATTCTTTTCTTTCCTGTTTTCTTGATACCAGCTCCACAGCTCATGTATTTGTCACAGACCCTTTTATGTTGAACTCCAACTTCTTAGAAACTCTTGTACACAGGCAGATACCCATTGTCTCAAGTTTCAAATACCCTAAGACCACCTTGGAGAAGTTAAGAATACTAAGACATCTAAACAAATTGATAAAAAGATTATTAAAAAATAGACATCAGACTGTGTACAATGGCTCATGCCTGTAACCTCAGCACCTTGGGAGGCCGAAGCAGGTGGATCACTTGAGGTCAGGAGTTCAAGACCAGCTTGGCCAACATGGTGAAGCCTTGTGTCTACTAAAAATACAAAAAGTAGCCAGGGCATGGTTGCAGGTGCTTGTAATCCCAGCTACTCTGGAGGCTGAGGCAGAAGAATCTCTTGAACCCAGGAGGTGGAAGCTGCAGTGAGCCAAGATCACACCACTGCAGTCCAGCCTGGGTGACAGAGCAAGATTCGTCTCAAAAACAACAAAAAAATAGACATCATACTGGATGCTGGAGAACATCACTGTCTTTTTCTCTGAGTTTCAGTTTCCCTCTAAGTCTCAGTTTCTTTATCTGTGAAAATTAGGACAACATTTACCTCAGTGGGTCATTGTGAGAATTAAGTGAGAGGAACTGGGTCAGGATTTATATGTCCAGGCTCATGTTTCTGAAGGTGCATCTGGAGCCAGACTGAGCAGGGCTTTAAAGGAAAGGATAGGAAGTTTAGAATTATATTCTATAGATGATGGGGAATGATATTCACTCTCTCATGAATTATTTCACTCAACTTCTATTCATGGCAAAGATAATGATGAATAAAGTAAATTAGATTCATGTACTTTTGGAGCTTAGAATTTTTAATGTGTGACAGATGTAATTATATAATCACACAAATAAATATATAAATTGGTAGCATTTAAGATAAGGAGGGGCTGATGTAGATGGGGGAGAAATTGAGAAAGGCTTTCTTGAAGCAGCAGCAGTGGTGCTGAGACACGAAAGGGGTAGGGACTCATTCTGGGCAGAGCAAACAAGATATACAGAAGTCTTCATGAGGCAATAGGGAGCATGGCTCATTAATAAAAAGGGCGAGGATGGGTAGAGCCTGTGATGAAGGAAAAAAGTTGTATGGAATAAGGCTGGAGAGATAGATGGGGGCCAGATCAGGCAGCACTTTGCAAGACATTGCAGAATTTTGGCCTTTTCATTAAGAGCAGTGGGACACATTGGATGGGTTTTAAGCAGGGAAATGGCAAGCTTATATTTGTTTTATACCAGGATCTCTTTTGCGGCTGAGAAGATTGGCTCAGAGCAAGTAGGGAAGATGGAGATCGTGGGAGGTAATTGTGGTAGTCCAGGGGAAAGAAAAATGGTTCCACCTATGGCCATAATGGTAAAGCTAGAAAGAAAGGGATGGCTTCAGCATATATTTAGGAGATAAAATTGGCACTGTTGGAATAGACACTGAGGTGGCGATGAGGGAGAAGAAGGTATTGAGGATGACTCCCAAGCTTTCTCCCTGTCAGAAGACTAGTGGCAGTGTTTACTGACACTTTAAAGATAGAGGATTAGCGAATGCCGTTTACCACTCTCCTTGAGACAGACTTTTCTTACTCTGTAGCTGTCCTGTGGGAATTTGTTGTGTCTCTATACCTATATTTCTTCTCCTTTCTAGTGTCCTCTGTGGTTCTGGGCTCACAAGAGGGCATCTGGCAAGGGCACAGAATTGCAGAGTGAGGGATACCTCAGGCAGCAACCATTCCACCACCATCATTTTATAAAGAGATAAAGAGATCTGTGACTGATGACCCCAGAGTGAGGGAGCCACAGGGATGGCTTACAACTTTTTAGGCCTAGGTCCTTTTCATTGCTTCTGCTGCTATGTACCCTTTGGTAGATGAAGAGCATGTAATGAAGAGCTACCAATTGCAACCCTCTTATTCAAAACCCCTCAATACTTACTGTAATCCAATTAAAGACTTTATTCTTTGAGGATGCCCTCACTTCTGGCATTCAAATTACTTGTAAGGATTAACTGAGTTAATACAGATAAAATATTTAGAAAATGCCTGGGATAGCCAAAACACTATGTAAGCTTTTGCTTCTGGTATGTTCTCACCCTACATGGCCCCATAACAGAGATCCCCAGTATCCATTCTCCTCCTTTCTTTTAATAACACAACAACCCTTCCTGCCAAGTTTGGTTGGGTACATGGCCGCCTAAGCAGTCACTATGTTTCCCAGCTTCCCTTGCAGCTAGGTGTGGACATATGACTAGGTTCAGGTCAATGGAGGGTACATGAAAGGAAGGTGAGTGTCTTTCTCATTTCTAGAAGATTCAAGTCCATTTCCTAAAAGGCAAACCTGCCTGCCCTGAACTCTGGGCCCTTATTATTCTCTGGCTTAGATATGGCAACAATTGGGACAGCTGCCTTGGAGTAGGGATGGAAGCCCCATGTTGACTGTAGGGCTGATCTGGAAGCCTGAGTCACTAGGTGACCATGTATATCAGAGCTGCTCCTTCCCCCGCCTGCTGAAATCCTGGGACACTCACCACAGATTACTCCTGTGTGGAAGGAACAAACTGTTCCCTTATGTAAGCCTGCATTTTGGAAGTCTCTTTGTAACAGTAGCTTAACCTGAACACAACAGATACAGCCCTACCTACGTTTCCTCTCATGACTGCCTTTTACTTACTCTGTGCCCTGGCCATACTACTATTACACTACTGTTATTGCTGTTTCTTTTAGCATTGGCTTTTCTTCCTCCAGGCTTTTACTCATGCTGTTTCCACACTGTAATGTCTCTTTAATACACATATAAATGTCTCAAGAGTGTTGCCTAAAGAAAAGCACGAGGGCTTTGCGATTAGACAGGAATGAATTTGAAACCTGTCTCTGAAACTTTCCAGAGTGCAATGCCTTTCAACTCCCTGAATGCCAGTTTCCTCATCTGCAAAATGGGTCTACTGATACTTATCTTATGGAGAAGTTTATGATGATTGATGTGAAGTGCATGTACATCGTCTGGTTCTCAAGCTGGAGACTACTATCACTATTGTCACCTAGCAGCCAAGTCCCAGCTTGGATGGCATTCACTCTGGGGAATTTGGAAGTTTTCCAAATTTCCTTCATGATATGAATCCTGGGGTGCTTGTTAAACATGCAGCTTCCCCAGCTCCTTCCCTGGCCCCTTTCTTAGAGATTCTTAGAATGTGGGTTATGGTTGATGAATTTGTATTAACAAGCCTCTTGAGT